TACAACCGGAGCACATGCCGCTGAGGTGAGGGGCGGGAACATTAGACGTGCACTAGAGACTGTTTAGCCAATCACAACACACTGGGCTAGCTAACCAATCAGAGCCCATCGCCTATTTCTGAGGGAGGGGCTTCATAAAAGAAGGAAATGAGCAGTGCGTTTTTCAGAGAAGGGACAGAGCGGTGTGGAATAAAGGTAAATTATGTGAAAAATAATGTGTTTTTTAAAAAACGAAGCATTAACACGTTACACTGCACCCCATAAACACAATCAATCCTAGAAAAAAACAGTGAACCACCCCTTTAAAAAAGGCAATTCATTAAATATTTATCTGCATCTCATTGCCTATCCATAAAAAAGGTACTAAGACTCCCATTTTCTGTTTCAGAAAGTCATCTTTAAAGCACGGAACAAGTCCAACAAGAACTCGGTCAAAGACGCACCAAAGAACAAGAAGAAGAAAGACTCCACACCCACTGTAGAGAAAGAGATAAGTGATCAAAAGCCCTGTGATGGAGCCGAGAAGAGCGCCGATACAAGTGTGAATGAACGACGGGAGGAAAACCAGAATAATGAGACTGATGCTGAAGTGCAGAGTGAACAGAAAGAGGACAGAGAGGAAGGGAACGAGACAGAGGAAGGGACGGTAGGAGCAGGCAGGGGAAAAAAAGAGGCGGTGGGGGGAAATAGCAAGACAGACGGAAATGCTAAAGATGAGGTAGATGTTAAAGAGGAAGAGCGTGGCGTGAAAACAGAAGCTGAAATGGGGTCGTGTCAAGACAAGGCCTCACCTACAGCACAAGAAACAGGACGACAGGACGAGGAGGTGGACAAACAGGAAGACAGCTCAGCCAATCAGGATTGAGGACGCGCTCACACCCACCGAGCCAATGAGAGTGGACCTCTGAATGTTCTAAATGCTACCCTGCAAAAAAAATCACTTTGCTAATCAATATTTTGTCTTGTTTTCCAGTATCTAAACATCCTTAAAACAAGTTCAATATACAAAACAAGAAAGCAAGAGTTGTTTTATTGATCTTTAGATACTCAAGCCAAAACTACTGGCTGATGTCGCGTAGCTTATGGTTTAAGACAGGTACACTGTCGCGCAACCACCTCACTTGACATTTCCACCTCTTGTAACCAATGCTGAACATTTAACTCACCGCTGGTGAGCGGGCGATAACATCCCTTCCCCATCAATGAGCCGAAAGGACTCCGGTATCCAGGAAGAGGGAGGAGAGATGGGAAGAGATTGTTATCGGTAAATGCACTGGATGGGAAAACCACATTAATATTTACTCGATGAGCCCAGAGGGCCGAGACAGACTCAAAGACGGCATCTCAGACGTGCTCCGAGGAGAAGGTTACTGTTGCGAGAAGCAATCTATTGTGATGTTAGGTGCATATGTTTGTGTATGTTTTTGTTTACGTTTATATGAATATTTCATGTCACCGTCCAAACAAAAGAGTCAGATTCTCGAAATGTAAAAGATTCGCACCTGGCAAAGAAACATACTGGGATATTACTATTAAGTTTGTTGTGCAGTAGGGGCGACTTTTTGTTGGTTTGGTTGTTAGCATTCAGAGCGGATCCACCACTGGTTTAAAGGAATAACTCACACAGAAATGAAAATTCTGTCATCATTTACTCACCCTCATGCTGTTTCAAATATGTATGACTTCATGAGAAAAATAGAATACTTTAATGAAGACTCAGGCTGTTTGTATGGAAGCCAATTTCTGCCACATAAAAAAAACAACAATAATGCATTAGTAAAAATTCATAATTCTCGGATAAAAAGTCAAAAATATGACACCATAAGTCTAAGGGCAGACATTGACAAAATGTCAACACTGAAAAGTAAAACTCATAAAAAGTCAATATTTTGACACACTAAGAGATAAATAGTAGAACTTTCCATAAAAGTCAACACAGATTAAAAAAGCTATTTTTCTGACATTATGAGATAAAACGTCATAATTATGACATAAAACACCATTATAAATAAGTCATAATTTAACTTTTTTCATCTCATAAGTATGATGGTATTTCATACCATGCATAATTATTATTTTCTTATGGAGTGGAAAATGTAATTCATATAATTTGATCCCATAATTTTGACTTTTTATGTCATAATTTATCTATTATTATTTAGTATATCATAATTTTTACTATTAATCTCATAATTGACTTGTGTCATAAGTTTGACTTTTTATCTCATAATTATGTCTGTCAATTTCAACCCATAATTTTGATATTATTTTTGTCACAATGATGACAATTATGTCATAATTATGATTTACCAAAGCATTTTTTTCTTCAACTGCAGAAATGGGCTTCTATACTTTTGAGCTCCATAAAAGCATCAGAAAAGTAGTCCATTTAATTAGAAATATATTATTTACCCAATTTTTGTGGGCGTAGAATATTTTTATGCTCATTAGAATATTGTATTGTTAGTTTAGCCACAAGCTTAATTAACAAATTATCCATTGAATGCTTTGTGCAAAAAAAAAGGTGATTAAATGATGCCAGAATTATCATTTACAGGGTGTATTATTGCTTTTAAAAGAGGAAGGTGGCATAATAAGTGTCTGTTTGGGCTTCAGTTTACTTTTACATGGAGACAATCTGCTCTAGCTTTAATACAAACATTTTTAATATTGCTCTCAGAGGCAATAAAGCATCACAAGTGATTTTGTTTGAGAAAGTCAACACCAGAAAGATGAGACACGCTCATGAACAGATCCTTTCCCTGTTTTAATTAGCAGACGACTAAGGGGCTGTTCACACAGGACCTTTCTCTTGTGTTAAAAACAGCAGAGCACAACAGAAGGTGCGTTTATATGCACATGAACTCCCAGACACTGGCTAATGTTCACCTCAAGTTGTTCATTCTGCCCCCTGATTCATCTGATGGCCATGCTTTAAAACTGTCAGCGATTTGATTAGTAACTAATGAGTAATTAGTTTCAGGAGTAATAACATGAAATCAAAATCAACCCAATTTTGTTAAAAATGCATCAAATTACAGAAATAAACTTGGAAAAACATGCCACTGATGTGCACATATGTGCCTACTGCACAGACCGAAATGAAAAAAGACAGAAATGGTAAAAACATTTTTTTAAGAATATTTCACTGCACAGAATTCATAAAAATACTGACAGTTTTTATGACGAAAATTGCATTTTCTGAGGAGGACGTGATGTGAGAGTGAAACTTCATGGTGTTATTATACAGACCGCCGTCGATTTTCAATTTGCATAAGAAAATAAACGGATACGTGCATAATCCGTAACAGAATGTTGTGATGGGATAGAGGGGTTATTTCATGACAATGATATTATTAGCCTGATCTTCTGGGATGTTTCAGATTTGAAGTGAACAACAGAAAATGAGGACGGTCGACGGGATAATGCGGTTACGTGTTATTGCGGTTCTTTGGCTTTTATTAATGAAGCGAATGTCTTGTATTTTAGAAATCAGATCCCTTAATCCAGCAGAATCACAAGACTATGATTTCAGATAGAAAATATTATCCTGACTCGTGGTTTAGGCTTTTCATAGAAATGAATATTAAAGTATTATTTGACGTATTACTTTTCCGATAAACAACAACTGGGTAACACGTCGTGTTTTTATATCAGAATAGGCCAAAAAGCATTTAGACACTTAAAGGTGTGTTCACATTAGTGAAATTTCAGTCAGTATAGCATATCGGCCAATGAAACCCAGCTCACACAGAAGTCACTTTCAAACCAAGCAGCTTGGTCGAGGCGAAGAATCTTTGAGCTTGAACCCGTTGAAATCTGCATGGGGAAATCTTTCGCCCTCACACGAAATTCCTGATCGCATAGAATCCTGTTGGAATGACTGGATTTCGCCAGGGAAAATTCGTCAACAACAGTGAGGGTGAACACACTTGACACGTAAAATGTCATTGCATTAGTTAAAATATCAAACTAAGTGACATTTATATTAAACAAAAGAGCCCAGCTAACAAGGAACGTTATCAAAACGTTCTGGCAAGGTTCACGTAACGATATGAACTGACATTATTCCAGTAACGTTAATAGAACGTCTCGGTTACGTATGTAACTCTCGTTCCCTGAAGGAGGGAACGGAGACGTCACGTCTGTGACCGACGAATTGGGATCACGCTTCGAGAGACCCAATTCGTCGGTCACCGACGTGACGTCGAGAGTGACCGACGTTCGTTCCAAGTTATCTGGTGATGTTATGTTCTCAAAATGTTAGCACAAAAACATTATACATTGTTTATGGATCTCTTTTCAGAAAACGTTTTAGTTGGACGTTAATCTAACGTTTTTAAATGTTACTACTTGTTTCAGAATGTTCAGAGAACATTCAAAAGTAACATTCCCATAATGTTTGTAAAATGCTAAAACGTTCCCTTAACATTCACATTACCAAAAATGTTTTTAAACATTAAAAAAAAAAAGAAAAAAAAAGAACATTCAGGAAACATTCCAAGAAAAAAAAAAATTCATAACTTAATGGGAACGTTAACTTTTTGTTAACTTTAACTTTATTAACGCAAGCAAACTTTACAAGCAAAATATTTCACAGAAAGATATTTGAAATGACAAAACAATAATTCAAAACCACTTTCTGGTCGTCAAATGTTAGTGGGACGAATCCATCATGCACATCAAGAAATGCGCATTAAGGTGTGGTCAACGTTAACATTAATGAAAATTTGCAAGTGAAATTCAGGAATCCGCATGATCGACTTTCTCATAAGAGTGAAAAAGTTTCCCACGCAGATTCCACTCATGATCAAGTTGGTTGCTCAAAAGTTAAAGTGACTTCTGTGTAAGCAATAATTCATACTCATCTCTACGCTACTTACAATGAATGGACCCCTTTTTACACACAAAATTTCACTACTGCACCTTTAAAAACTAAACATGGTCATTTTGATTTCATGCTGCATTTTGTGCCCACTGTACACCTCACCTGAGCAACATCTGTATTTCCATTAAGTCAGCATTGTTGTGTTGGCGTCTGGCCGCATTTATAATCTGGGTTCGCAATGTCAGGGTTTTCCAGCATGTGGTCTTGAGGGACGGCGTGTGTGCGGTTCTGCATTAGCTCTAATGGCCAGAGGGGTCACGCTTAAAATCATAATGGCTTTTCCGTTCCCCCCTCCTGCTGGGACAAACGTCTCTTGGCCTCATCAGAAAGGACGTCAGCCTCCCAACTCCCTAATAAAAGATGCCGTTTTCAATCTGTCCGCGTACGCTTTAAAGAAATTCATTTTGCACTTCCCTCTTACACGACGGCGGTTCTCGTTCTTTTTCCGAGCGGTTTCTGACACGTTGTGCTTTTGTCACAGTGCTGTTGGTAGACTGTAGCTGGAGGGGAAAGGCCTTGTTTATTGTTTTAATACAGGGGAAAGACAGAGCTGCTCTGACGATTCAACTAGAGTCAAAAAGACATTCTGGTCATCCTATTTTCAGGATGTTCCATGTCAGCTTACATGCAGATGTATTTTTCAAGCACTGCTTGTTGTGTATCACAGGTGGAATCTGAGGCTTTTTGAGGTGGTAAAATCTGTGGATTGTGTTAAACAATAGCGGAGAGTTCTACAAAAACATTCAAATTAGCCAAAACACTTAATAAAGCAACAGACAATGTGTAGAAGTTTGTGAATGACGGGCGTCCCGATTCCTGCGGACATCTGTGGGCGCTGATTGTGTGTGGGCCTGCTTATCACTGACAGATAGCAATTATGTTACAGTATGTGTTAGTATGCATATTGCTCTACTGTCAGCATCTGCTCTGATAAGCTTGGCTTATCTAGATTGAGTTCTGCGACTGTGTTCGGAACAGAATACTAGTGTACTGCATACTGCACAGTATATGCTGTATGCCATCTACTGTTTTAATAGAATGTGAATCAGCATAAAATAAAGCTGTTTCACTGAGAAAACTGACTTAAACTGAGGTAAATCACAGTTACACATGGCCTTGAGTGACTTACTGCTTTTATAGGAGCACAAATAACTGACAACAGCAGTATTTGGTAACATCTATTAATATTAATCATTGGAAATATAAATGTGTGGCATCAAGTTAAGTGCATTGCATGGTGGGGTATGCATTATGTACACTACTGTTCAAAAGTTCATGGCCAGTAGGAAGATATTAATACTTTTATTCAGTAAGGACGCATTAAATGATCAAATGTGACAGTAAAAGATGTTACAAAAGATTTCTATTTTAAATTAAATAAATGCTGTTCTCTTGAACTTTCTTTTCATCAAAGAATTCAGAAAAACTCAATCTATCATGGTTTCCATAAAAATATGATGCAGCACAACAAGTATTTATCATTGATTATAACGAGAAATGTTCTTTGAGCAGCAAGTCACCATATTAGAATGATTTCTGAAGGATCATGCGACACTGAAAGACTGGAGTTTAAGATGCTGAAAATGCAGCTTTGCGTCACAGGAATCAATTACATTTTAAAATACTTTCAAACAGAAAACACTTATTTTAAATAGTACAAATATTTCACAATGTTACTGTATTTTTAATCAAATAAATGCAGCCTTGGTGTAGACGTACTAGACATCTTTTAAAAGCATTTTAAGAATCTTCAAACTTTTGAACAGTAGTGTAGCATACATGTCCATGTATATGCACGTGCATTCAGAAAATTATGTAAAAATATTAGTATAATAGTATGCTTTTTCAAACACTGCCTTTGTTCCTAACTCAAACCCTGTTAAACAAATACACACATCAGCTACATATTTCTTAAAGACTTAGAAATAATAATTTAACCTTCAATGTAGACACACTTTATGTGGTTTAACTAGCTGGCAGTGATGAATGGTTAGTGTGTGAAAGCAGCATGCGTGATCTTTACCGCCCACACCTGTGAAAGTGAACATGCGTGATCTTTACCGCCCACCGTGTAGATTCGAATG